ACCCACCGCACCCCCCGCTCTCGCCGCGCCCTCTGCTCGCACCTAACGATATGCAAAAATTCTTATACAGGGCGATTCTTAAAGGACAGATAACCGGCTCAGTGCAACTTGAGGACCCGAGGCCGTCAATAGCTATCTAGCAATACAAAACATATGAAATAGGTCTTTTTCAAAGAATTGTAAAATGCAAATTTTTTAATTTTTTTTAATAAAACATGACAATTCACATAATAAAAATTATTAAAACCGTAAATTTTACAGTAAAATGCAATTTTGAATATAAACCTTTTTTTTATAACATAAGGTGGCAAACGAGCAATCGGCCACCTAAATCCGCCAAATAGGCGAAGTGACCGTTGCCCATAGACATCCACAATTGCAGATGCACACACATAAAATTAGACCTTCTCTACGTACGATCATAATTCAATCGTGATGAATATTGTCATCTACATTTTTAAATAAAATGAGTAAAATACCTTATTTTTATGTTGCCGTCGACTATTTCAAGTCGTTATTTTTACATGAAAAACAAACGAAAGGCGAAAGATAAACCTTAATTTTTAAATCTGCCTATTCTTTAGGGGCGGTGATTAAGTGATGCTGCGGACGGCCACATTGCCATATAGCGATATATATTCAGTCAAAATAACACGGCACATACCTCGGACTTGCTCTCGGCTCTAACATTATTTTCTTGTGGGTTCTTGAGGTTGTTCACATTGTCCCCCCCGTGCAGGCCTGCAACAAGCGGCGGCTCAGCCTCACCTCGACACAACACTGGCCGCATTCCGGCAACAATTCGCCAAATCATAACTGATTCTTGTAGCCGATCAAGTTGGACTTAGCGGCGGATCACAACTCTCCCTTTTTATATCACATAGTGGGAAACCAGCGGCTACCACCTGTTCCCCATCCACCACTCCCCGAAACTGATGCGGCCGCTGCTCTCAACAGAGGAGGTGACGCAATAAAATAGGATATAGATAGTGGACTCCTCCTCTAAATGTACTCCCAGGGGGTGGCATTGCGCGGCGAGCGGCACAGACGTGCGACACTTGTGGCTGGCGTCTTCATGTTCAAATTTACATTAACCTATCTTGTCTTAGCTTCGAGAAAATGTAAATATTTATATATTAAATTTTCATAAAAAAAAAATTACCAAAACATACCAAGCAGATATACAGATTTACTTTAGTATCGAATATGTCGTATCGAAAGTAGATACGTACATTTTACAAAGTTGAAAGTATCTTATTGATTAATCATTGATAAGTTGATTAATTCTTAATTGAATGAATGAAATTAATATCTGTCGCCTCCTCTCACTGACTCGCCTTGTTATTTGTAATTGTGATATCTTCAAAACTTTTTTAAGACATTTACATATATAACGCTACAAAAGGAAAGCTGTATGAATGAGCTATTTTAATCCGGTTCGTGACTTTTCAGAACGAAGAAGCCAAACATGAATGGTTTATACGAATAACGCCTTACTCACGTGTTACAGTTTCGAAACTATTCTGGTTTGTGCTATCCTCCGTCAAAGTATTGTCTGAAAAGAAACGTAACGTAAGCTTTGTATCCATGCGGGGTGTGTGTGTGTGGTGTGTGTGGTGTATGTGGTGTGGTGCGCGCACCGGGTGCAATGGGGCGCAGCGAGGCGGCGAGCTCCTGCTGCGCCAGCGCGTCGTCCAGCAGGCGCACGAGGCGCGGCGCGCGCGCGCGCAGCGCCAGGCAGCGCGGCGTCTTGCGGAACTTGCAGCGCGCGCGCGCGTCGGCGCCGGCCGCCAGCAGCGCGCGCGCCGCCGCCTCGTGCCCGCGCGCCGCCGCCCAGTGCAGCGGCGTCATCTGCAGCATGTCCCTGCCACGCAAACAAAAAACTCGTTTCCTCTCGCAAACTACGGCTTGTGCACGAGCACCACCTACTGCTACTGCCATCATGTCTCTTTACACGACCTATACTTCTTTTTAAAACTACTTTGTTATGTTTTATTATTAAATGACTAGTTATTTGTGACGTACATTACAAAAACTACATAAAAATTGATCAGCTCACGGGCGCTTAGGAGTGCGGGGAAGGAGGTGCGCATGGTTATCGATACAACATTGGTAAAGTCAGTCTTACTGACGTGGTTTTGTATTTAACTACTAGTTGTAGTGTCACGTTTGGCATTCGATAACAGAGGACCCCATCTTGACTTCTAATACATATAGATGGGACTAGAAGCAAAAACGAGATGTCGGGGACCTCCTCCACGCGTATCAGAATTCAATATGAGGTGTTGAGTTTTAGCAAAGGAATGTTGAGCCATTAGGTGGTGTAGCGGCGCGCGGCGCACCTGCAGTCGACGTTGGCGCCGTGACGCAGCAGCAGGCGCAGCACGCGCGCGTGGCCGGCGTGCGCGGCCAGGTGCAGCGGCGTGCGGTCCACCTTGGTGCGCGCGTCGCGCGACACGCCGGCGCGCAGCAGCACGGCGCACGTCTCCTCGTGCGCGTTGGCAGCCGCCAGGTGCAGCGGCGACGTGCCCAGCTGGCGCCGTTACAGTACATTGCAGTACATCCTATAGTACACCGCCCTAACGACGCGGTCCATGTTAACCTCGAAAGACGCGTTTCTTCGCCCAAAACCACAAACCAGATTCCTTGTTCGGAAATATGATTAAACTTGCGACACGGGCGTGGGGGGGGGCCTCGGCTAGCCTCACCTCACCCCTTTGGAGCGAGGCTGTATGTACTATTAATAAGGTACATACAGCCGTCTATATCTTCTATACATATTATGTCAAAAGTGCCATGAAGCGCTACGAGAAAATAATGTTTTTTATATTCCGAGCTTACGATGTCAGCGGGAAACAGCCTGTCTATGCTAAGATTTATATTTTTGTATGTATTTGATTCACGCACAAACTACTGGGCCGATTTTAAAAGTTCTTATACCATGAGAAATGTAATTGATCTGTGAGTAACAAAGGCTATATTTTATTATTACTAATGTTTAGGAACTATTAATGAACAGCGTGTTTCTGGACGCCGGTGTTAAAAAATCACTAAGCTTTAACTTTTTTGTTAACAAAATGAATTAAAAACAGCACGCTATTTCTGACGTTCTTCTCTTTGTTTCAGTATTAATCCTTCTCCAAATAAATGCGTTTGTTACCAGGAGAATTTAATGTAGAATAAAATTGTCTTTTACAATATTTTGAATTTGACTAGATTTGTTTAGAATATGTTCTACCGCTAACACAAACAATCAGGGTAACGGAAAAATCAGGGCACAAATCGGATCAGCGAATTATTCGTTATATTTCTTTTTTACGTAGATTACTACTACGTTAATATTTTTGGTAATAGGTTGCAAAAAGAGGCGACCGTAAGTTTTGAACATTCAAATTTCACGCGGACAAAGTCACGAGCAACAGCTAGTATACTATATTTTTTGTACTTAATATTCGAGAAAATGCTTTTGTAATACCTATATCACTAGATAAAATAAAATACCGTTGTGTTTCTTCGACACACGACCGACAAGAAGAGTCAAACCGTGTCCTAAAATTGATTAGTAGGCAGCCTAAGGAACGCACCCAGTCGGTGGTGAAGGGCGCGCCCTTGACCATGAGGTCGAGCACGGCCGGCGTGTCGCCCACGCGCGCCGCCAGCAGCAGCCGCCGGCCCAGCTCGGCGCCCCCCGCGCTCCCTGCGCCCCCAGCGCCCCCCGCGCCCGCCGCCACCTCCGCCTGCACAGTGCAAAGCAAATACTGACTTCGGCGGATTCACCTATCTTAGCTGTGATTCCTTAACTTCTTTTTGACATCGATGTCTCAGCAAAGCCACTTGAGTACTTGAATTTATTGTAACAATATTAATAAAAAAAGAAACTGGCCGATACAAAAACTATGAGATTATTGATTGTCTTACCGAAATAACTTGTGGTGCAGTGATTTGCACAATCAGATCATCCGTGCCGAAGTTTGATGTCATCTTAGCACACCTGCACATATAATTTATTAAAATTCAGTATATCTTTTTGCTCTTAACTAGTAAAAGCATTGGTTTGCCGTTTTATGTCTTTTTTGACTTGGTTCACATTATCAAATAAATGTGTTGTATTGGTAGCATGTGCATAAGGTAATGCTTCTAAAATAAAATCCAAAATTAAAGGTTAAAAAATTAATTTCTGAAGTTAAAGAAAGACAATACCAATAAAGGTATAATTATATCTGTATAATCCTAAAGTCACGGAGGTGTAATGTTATTGAGGGGTGATGACATCAAAATTAGTGAAGCGTCTTACACTACAGCTGATCACGAATCAAGGAGACACATACATTGTCACATTTATATATCTGTGTAATTGTGTGTGTAAATTAATTGTAAATGTGTGAAAATATATCTTAATGCATCACTGCTTGGTGTAGCACAAACAATTAACAAAATATTTCTTTACAGTATTACTTTGTTATTTGATAATTTATATGACTTGTGCACATTCATTTTTATCTTGTATTTATTTTACTTGGAAAAAATTTTGTTTCAAAAGAATCTTTAACCCTATCAATATAGTAAAAAGGGCATTTTTGTTATATGGTTATAGAAATCTCTAATTGATATGTGATAATTAATTGCTTATGATCCTGGAAAGTTATTAAACATTTTACAATAAGTCTATGTTTAAAAACAAAATACACATTAAATTCAATAAAGCCATTGTGAATAATAAAACATTCGAATTCATTTATTTTTACAAAGGACATAATAGACCCATGGGTTTGTATTTTCAAAAAGTTTTATTTTTATTTCGCGCTTTCAAAATATTCAATACACTCTAAAGTTATAGACAGGATAAGGATGTAGAGAAACAGCACCATCTTTTCGATCACCAACCATACTTCCTTTTCCTGTCTTGACGGAAGTTGAGAATAGACAGATTTAGACTTAATTTTGCACAGAAAAATGGTACTTGGGTAACTTACCCTAATAAAGTCTATACGAACGTTGATTACGGTAGCGTTACACATTTTAATATTAATTAATCAGTTTAAAGTGTAAACGTCAACACAATAGTAATATTCAAAGTCAGATACTTTTCATTATACCGCGAAACCAACTGTCAATTGAACACAACATTATTACTTCTGATTTGCATAAGGAGTTTTTAAAAGATTTTTATAATTTGGAGTACCGTAAAAATATTATTAAATACTATTACATGTATTGCACAAAGTGTTATCATATTTTTATTAAAAAAAAATCGAGTATTTCATTTCCACTTATAGTTTTTATTTAGGTAAGCACTGAAATATAGTCCTATAAAATTCTTTGGCAGCCGGTAAATTTTATGAAATGAGAAGTGACATTTAATGTCAGGGTAATAGTGACATAACTTGACAGTTCACATCGCGTCATTACTTTATGTATTTTGTGTGGCTTTTTAATGTTATTCCATGAAATAAAGTGATGACAGTGTTAATGTTTTTTTTTTAAGTGGGAGATATTTTTATCGCTGAGAAGTAGGAGAGTCCAGTAATTACATTTGAAAATGTGAATCATCTTGTGTCCGTTGCAATTAGAATTTGTTACCATTGATTAATAAATTCACTAACTCTCAAGGCGACGCATATTTTTAGATTTGTAATTTTAAAAAAAAATTGTTATGTACTAATTGACTTAAATATATTTTGCTTAAGTGATCGACCCTTTATTGTAACTTGTTTTGTACATCTGGAAGTATGGCCTCCTTGACATACATTTCATATTTACTTACGAAATAAGGAAATTACAATTCTGTGTGTACTCAGTAATGTATCAAAAACTAATTATCATGTAATTTTAAAACGAACACTTTAAACCATATCACATTGTTATACTGTGCGTTGATTATAAACAACAATCATTAAGATTTCTATTATTCTGTAGATGAGCGCTAAGTAAGACTATTTCTATTATGTTAAGACTATTCCTTCCCTAACTGTCTCAAGAGAGTGCATTGCTTAAAGTTTGTTACAAAGATTCTTTAACTATAGAGCCTTCTAACCGACAAACGAAGTTTGGGGCATTTTCTAGTTACATTGTAAGGTACAAGTACTTCCTTTACAATTTGGGTTTTCGTTTTGAAAGTGAAAGATTTTCTCTTTAATGTGGACATAATAGCTTGCTGGTAACCCTAAATGCTCAGAGGTGCCTTCCTGTCAATTTCAAAAAGGTGCTACAATAGCCTTGGCGGACTATACTCTTGATCTTGTTTGCTCTATCAAGCAGTGTTGCCAATGCTACAGCAATTGCCGCGTTTTACAGCTTTTGGGTTTTGGGCCATCAAATTACTAAACCTACGGCTGGCACCCACAATCCTAGGACCGCAGCAGAATCTACGGCTTTTGGAAGATCTATCATAGAATAATTCATTGGTTTTCTGAAATAAATTCACTTACGAATAGCTTTTGAATAAAAAAAAACTCTTTAAATAAGAATTATTTGTATCGGGATTAATGTAGTTCAAATAAATCATTTACGATTTTATAAAAAGCGGTTCATTTACTGTAAATATTAAAATAGCGACATTATCTTATATTGAAAAGTCATCCTTTTTAACAGGTGCTACAATACAATTACGACCCACTGATGATCTTTTTCCATAAAAACACAGCTTTTTTACAAGAAGTACACGGTCGTAAAAATTTTCAATGGCAACACTGCTCTCAAATCAAGTTGTCATGTCCAGTCAAGACATTCTATTTCAATTATGTATTATTTAAACATAATATTTAACGATGTAAGCTTTATGATACGAGGTTAATTTCATAAGAAAATATTCAATGAACGTAGTATTTTTTAAATTAAAATAATGAAATTGTCGACACCAAGATACACATTCTGTTTATTTAGTCAACTTACTTTTATGTTTTGTGATCTTATATTTAATTGTATTAGTTTGTTTCCAAAGAGCCGCGATGGACTACTTGTGTTATTTATGTATGTATCTCGGTTTTATGATAATAAAGTTAGAGTTAACTGACGTGGCCACCTCTCGCTAGTCCCATATTGTGATGCTAAAATGTTGATTATGGTTAAAATCAATAAACATATTTTTTTGTCAGGATATCAATTAAATAACTACACAGATTTTTTCTTGAAATTTCACAAAGTTGAGTATATTGAAATGTTTCATGATTCGTCAACAGTGCAAATTACAATGCAATTGAAGCACAGGGTGGTGGCGGCTGGTCGGCAGCAGCACAATGTTGCTTACAAACTGTCGCTTATCGAACTTTATTTCAATAAATCCCTGACTCAGTTTGCAAAAATCAGTTTAGACTTATTAATGTCCATGTTATTAAATTTTCTTGCAGATTTCAAGATCTTTTTTTAGTTCTCTCTGTCACAATAATGCTGATTACATTTTTCTCAACCTATCTATTTCAAGTAAGTATAAAATAAAAACCTAACTTTAATAAAAAAAAAAGAAACTCCAACTTACTAAATCTTACAGACAAATATGCTCAAAACACTCAAATAAACTTAGAAATAAAATAAACTTATGTCAATAAACTAGTGTCAAGTCAAACTCGGTCAAACTCAATTTTTCTACAATTTTATTAGTCAAACTCAATTGAATACTTTTTTTAATTCTCATGTCTTTAGGTGTAGGTGTTTTGTGCTGATGTAATATACCCTATGTCATTCCCGGGTAGAAGACGAATTGACAATGTCATTCATCAAAATCAGTTCAGTTATTTAGTCTCCAGTCTGCCACAATTCAATTTAAATACATCAAACCCACCCACATAAAAAACTTACATAGGTACTTGTGAAAAATGTAACCCTCTTTGTCAATTTGGTAAAAATGGATACATGTTTTTACCTCAAAATGAGTATGAAAAGAGAGTTGCACATTCACATGGTGGCAATGTTAAGAAGAGCGTGTACTGCCGAGGCGGGGCTGGCGGCGCTGCTGCTGCGGCGGCTGC